AACATTTGCAAGGCAGGACGTGGATGGTGGCAGCTCGGTCAAGGCAATGGCTTGACAACGAGCATCTTTTTGTACAGTTTTGCCAAGCTACATGACTGCCTCGTGTGTTCCCTGTGTCCTTCATGGACCGTAGTCTCCTGACTCGAACGGGGCAAAGGCAAAGGCAAAAAGGTGGCCGCATATCCCGGCCACCGCCGACCATCCCCGAGCCCGCAGTAAAAAAGTGCGCTTGCAACGCTCGAGGAGACCGGTTGCGCCAGGGCGTCGCGAGCGCGCCCTCCACGCACTGGCGCAGATGGGCCTGAACCCGACCAAGAACATCGAGTTCTAGACTCCACGGGCCGGCGAGGAGCGCCAGTGTGGTAGCAGAGCCCACGCTGGGCGGCCAGTGGGCAGTGGAACGGACACGCCCCCGTCATCGGTGGAAGGCGTCGCGCCGGCGTCCTGGACACGCCGAGCGCCGCCGCAGCACCTGCCAGCCCAAAACGCTCCCCGGTGCTGGTTGTTTGCCTTATTGCTGGACGCGGCCGGCCAACTCCAAGTGGCCGCGGCCGCCGTGTGGCGGAGCCATGCTGCATTGGGGGAGCTGGCTCGCGCAGCTGCGCGGCGCGCCCCCTGTCGCGCTGGACCAGGCCCGCGCAGCCGTCCCTGTTTTCAGGCGGCACGCACGGTGCACGTCGCCGCCGGTGGGGGGCGGATTGGTTCCGTTGCTGTCGCAGGCCTCCTGCGGCAGCGCCTCCCGTCCTCCCGGCTGCCGTAGCCTCGCGGAGGAGGTGGCACAGGAGCACCGGCATCCCCGCTTGGCCGGCCAAGCCGCGCAGCTCCGCATGCCCGCCCTCGGCTATCGAGGACTTCCCGCGCTGTGGGGCTGGCGCCCCCCGAGACGGCCGGCACAGCAGCCACAACAGGGCGAAGCACGCGCCCATGAGCGAGCCCAAGCCAAACCAGCCCCAGCACGAACACAGTGGCCCCCAACCAGGCGGGAAGTAGCGGGGGGCGCCCCCCGCGCACACGAAAACCGCGTGGGATAGCGCCTCCTTGCAGGTGGGCGGGAGCTGGGCCACCGTGCGCGCGGTCTCCTCCGCGCGTTCGGCCCCCCATCTCGCCAGCGCCCACCCCACGCGGAACAGCAAGTCCATGCGGCAGTTGAGGGAGGGCAGCCCTAGACTCGAGCACTTGAGCCAAAATGGCTTGAGCCTCGAGCTCGACGCCCGCACCACGGTCCTCAGCATAGACGGTGTCGGGGCCTACGACCACATCTCGCGCGCAAGCATGTTGAGCGGCTTGCAGCACACACCCAGCCTCACGGCGCTACAGCCCTGTTCGTTTCTCAGGCTGGCCCTTCGCTGCCCGTGCCTTCCGTGTTTTTCCCACCTGCGCGGAGTTCACGCTCGATTTTGCACTCTTTCGGGTCCTTCTGCTCCGTCGCCTGCGGCCTCGCTTTGCCTTTAGCATCCGCTTGGCGTTGTGCGCCCGTGGTGGCCGTTTGGAGCGGGCCGCTGCTCGGATCTGTGGCAAAGAGGCTTTGATGATAGGCGGATCAGATATCCAATGGACTTCCTTAGTCGGAGGGAAGGGGCGCAGCTCGCGGTTGTGTCAGCACTGGACTCTGGCGACCAGGCACGTGTCTACCACTGCAAGAGCTCGTGTTTTGTGCTTGTTCTCGCCCTCAAGGTTGGGAGCGGCGGTGCCAGCACCGCTCAGTTCGTCCGACTCCTTGCCCGTGAGCGAGCTGCCGCTTTCCGTGCCCGCGTTGGAGCAGCCAGGGCGTTTGCAGCTAGTTCCTCTTCTTGCCTTCACGGAGCGGCGCCCGCCAGTCAGCGATGTCACCAACAGCGTCGTCTACCCAGCATTGCTCCAAGCAGACTGCACTGCAAGCTGCGCGGTCGCTGCCACCTTTACCAGGCTGCGCAACGAGGCAACAAACAGCACTCAAGGCCCATACGGGGGACAAGGAAAGGGAATGCGGTCAAGGGCCAACATGAACCGTGCCTCCAGGGAAAAAACCGTGGAGGAGTCTCAAAAAAAACTGAGGTGTAACCACCGCGGACTCAGAAGGGCCGGACCATCAGGAGGGGTCCACCTCCGTTGCGTCAGCAGTGGACGGTTTGCGTTTGGGTCGCTGGGCTCGGCTTCCGACAGCTCGTGGCGGCTTGCCTGCGTTGGCGCTTGTTGGTGCGCCATCCATCAGCAGGGTCCGCCAGCGTCCGCAAGCCCGTAAAGCAGGCCCACAAAGCAAGAACTGTGGGATGGAGCGTTGCTGGGCCAAGTTCCTGGTGATTCCTTAGCCGTTCGCAAAAGAGAGCCACCTCGCGGGTAAGTCCGCTCCAAACCTCGGCCAGTCCCTGATAGCGGCCGGCGGGACCAAAAGCTGCAACCCGTGCCCCAAATGGAAGGCCGTCGGCCACGACGCCGAGCCGACCTGGTCGGTCACAAGACCGGCAAGGCGGTTTTCGATGTGAATTCCGGCCCGTAATCCTTTCGGGACATAGCGGCGGTTGCCCAAGGTCATCACAGCGACGGCGCCTGCAAAAGCGTCCAGGAAGAGCTAGAGGAGGCGAACAGAAGCTGGCAGGGAGGAGGTCATCTTGACTGAGACAAGGAGAAGGTTGGAGCCGGCGATTGGTTTTTCTGAGACTTCGGAGCCGGGGTCGAAACTCAGCTGCTTCCGTCGCAAGCTGTTTGCGCAAGCGCTGGGCAAACATTTTGCGGAGGTGGCTGTCGCGAGCATGGTTTCGGGCGTTGCTTTGTGTTGCAAAGCGACGCTTGCCTTGCAACTGCGCAGGCGGGAGCTGCTGCTCGCGATGGACGGCGCTGCGCGCGGCAAAGCAACGTAAGCTCGTGCCTACTGGAGTTCCGGCGCCCGGGGACTCTGTGTTTTTGCCCGTGAGGGAGGCTGGAGCCGGGCCGCCGACCTTGTCCGGGTTCGCGCGCGGCAGGCGCTGCTGGAAGTGGGGTCTTGCTGATCCGGACACGCCCGCCAGGCGCCACTTGTCAAGCTTGCAAAGATGTCCCTCCGGGCGCAATCGGGGAATCGTTTTCAGCGACTTCGTTCGGCTGCTCGTTGCCTAGACCTTTGCGCAAGCCTACCCTTTCGCGTTCCAAGAGGTGTGCCGCCCGCTCCAGTTTGCGTTGGCCACGCGCGCCAGGGCGGACTCTCTTGTCCACGCCCACGCCCTCGCCGCCAAGGAAACTGGCTCGCCGCGAGGAAATGCGACGGGCTGGAAAGCCAGATTGCCGAATGAAGTGGGGCAGTGTCCGCGCCGCGAAGAAAAAACATGTCTTGCAGATGCTGAAACGAAACCGCACACGGCGAAGGGCAACTTAGCACAAAACACAATCTGGCAGAAAAGGTGTAGGTATGGAACGGAATGCTTGTTAATTTCTTTTCATGTTGGCCGGCCCCTTGGTTTGGTTTTGTTTTGCCTTCCACAGTTCCTTTTAACAAGTGACAAAACATTTTTTCTTGTGCCTTGGCAGGCCCAAAGGTTACCGGTGGTTTGGCCCGCTGCAGAGACTCGAGTCCCTTCACACTCACACATTCCACTTTGCAGTGAGACCCAGTGATGATCATATCGTCATTCCCAATTTGCAGCATTGTTGCAACGTCCAAAAGCATATTGAACACGTGCAAGACTGAGGCTGACAATGGCGCAGGCCAGAAAACTGGCCAGTGTCGTACGCTTCACCAAACCCAAAGAGCTAGATTCGCTCGGACCCGTTGGATCGGGCTAAACCCTCAATTTCTTTAAGTTTGCCATGTTTCACTATCTGCACTTGCAGCGAAGCAACAGCTGGACCAACTGCCAGAAATGTCGCGTCGATCAACTCTTGCGCACGCGCAGCCTTCGGGTTCACGACAAATCCGCAGAAGCGCTAAAGCGGAGGCTTCCGTTCAAAGCGCCTGGCCTCGTGTCCAAGACCTTCAAGCCTGGAGCACAAGAGGAGGCCCTGCAAGGCGTTCACTCAACGATGGCAGCGGCGTGACGCACGGCGCCAAAACAGATCTACAAGGAGAGGAAGGCCTAGTGAGATGCTGGTTTATGGGAGCAACAATGCCTCCCTTGCAGTTTTTTCGCGCCAAACTCAACAAGGCGAGTGTCGGGGCTGAGCGGTACAACGGCGCTTCGCGCTTGGAGCGAATTCTTCACGGCCAATGGGCTGCAGCACGGATCGAGTGCATCAGCAGGCGTGCTTGCGCACTGCATTGATTTCTCTTTGCTGGATCCAGTGTGCCGTGGCTGTGGGCTGTTGCTGTAGTCATTGCTCACTTCACGATGGAATCAAGGTCTTTTTTTGTGAGTCTCAACGCATCCCACTTGTGCGGCTTCATGAGGATGCCGGCCACATTGCTCGATCTGGGAAGGATGTTGGTTTCAAGCTGATGAGTGAGCAACTGAGAAAGACCCCTCAGGCCTATCCAAGCGCATCCAAAAACGCTGTTTGGCTTTGAAGCTGTTGTGAAGTAAGTCGGCAAAAAAGTTAACCACACAAATACCAGCAAGGTGTGGCAAAGTTTGCGAAGATGATTTTATGTTATTCGCCGAGGTGGAAGGTTGTTAAGCGAAGGAGCGTGCGGAGCTTGCAATTCAAAGGCCATGGCAGGTGCTGAAAAGCAACAAATGAAGTGTATGAACGACAAGAACGGTATGAAAAGAGATACAACTCATGAATACAAATTACAAGAAAAAGGCAAGATAGCGCAAGATCATGCCAGTGAGACATGACAAATAATGCTGCAAAGAATGCAAAGCATGAAAACAAATGCGGGTCGTTTGACTGCTGAAACAGAGAAACCTCATGGCAGCACAGCCAAGGAGTCCAGTCCGCAACTACTTACCAGGCAGGATGCTGTGGCGCCCAGGACTGCGTCAAAACGAAGTTCGCGCTGTAACCACCCTTTGTCTCTTGTTCGCTTGTGTACCGATTTGATAGAAGCAGCCTGGGCCCAGCGGCGCAAAACGTTCAGCTCCTATATATCACCCATGGAAGTCTGTTTTCATGCACCTCCGGGCGCGCGAATCCTCACTTGCCAGTCACCAAGCCAGATCTAGAAATTCTACAGTTCGAGAGTTCGGCAAAGTGTCATTGCCGAACCAACGCTGCAGTTTTACCAGTGGCTGAGATGCCTGTACAAGGAAGATGGTCTAGGGTCCAACCCCTTCGGGGTTTTCTGGGCAAGCACACTTTGGCTCGTCCTGGATCGTCGTGCATGTGGAACTCGTAGGACTCTTTCTTCTTTCACTTGCCCTGGGGCTGGGGATATTTCACGATGATGTCGAAGCCCACATTGCTGAGGTACGCCACCACCCTCACCGCCATCTTGTCCTCGTTCATGCCGGCCCTTAACGTCACGCCCAAGCCGGCGCCGGTGGCTATGGTGCCCTCTGCGCCAATCATGCGGTACCCAGATGTGTCCACCCAGCCCAGGTAGACCCCAGCAGTCACCCCGGCACCCACGTAAATGTAGACCACCCCCTCCACCCCCAGCACATCCTCCTTCTGGATGTCTGCTCCTGCTGTCTCCACCACCTGCGAAGCGATCTGCGGCAACGACGCGATGATGTCGTCCAGCACTGGCAGGGGCTCCTGGTAAGAAGTTTCAACTGTTTGGACAAAAGCTATCGGAAGGCTCCCAGGATTTAAGACAGGCCAAGGCAGCCGCAGCCTTCGCAACACATACACGCAAGACAAACATCTCCATTTCCCATGTTGAAGGATAGCATGTAACTGAGGCTCACAACAAGAGTGGCTTCCTATCCGCGCTTGCGGCACCCATTTGAATCTCAGTCCTGCGCCTTGATCTGCCTCAGAAACTCCACCAGGGTCTTGCCAGAAGAGGCGTAAGACTTCACATACATGGCCAAGGTCTCTGCAGCAATACCGTCGCGAACATCCCTCACCCCAGCCAGGGCATAGATGGAGCCTCGAGAAGGTCTCACGTCTCGACCAGGTTGCTACCCCATGACAACATACACACGGCGCAACCCAAAATCCTGCCCGGCCTCCGGCGATACCCAGGTTGAACTTGGGCTTCACCACCACACCTTGGTCAATGCTCGACCCTAGGCCGAGAATCCAATCTAGCACCAATCACTTTGGTACATGTTAGCCATAACCTAATGCAAGGAAACAACTGTGAACCCCCGAAAAGAAAAGCCCCATCCTTTCACTATGATTTACCCATCGAACACACGCAATTTTAGAGTTTCGCTCGTATTATCCCAAAATGGGTGAGCTCGAAATTTGCTGGGAAAGATGTAACGTCACCAAACCCAGACGCCCGAGGAATCGATCTCCAGCGGCCCCACGTGGACTTTGGTGTTCCCAGCGCCGATGGCCGCGGATGCCGTCTGCGCGCAAGCAGCCCAGAAAGCCAAACACACACAAAAGGATGTACCAGAATTCGCTTACAAGCTGGTCCGGTTCACTTGCAGGGGAACTGTTTGCCATCTTGCTTTATTGGCGGGCTGCCCTGAATTGCAAAGAACCTGCAAGATCTCCTGATTGAAATGCAATCCTGCAGCCCCAAAACCGTGCCCAGCCGCCCACGGCACGCCTCCGATTTGGACCCGCAGCAACCCATCGCGCTTCAGGCAAAGTCAGGCAACCCTCGAACCCAGCTGGCAGCGAGGTGAGCAGGCAACATGCATCTCGATTATTTCTAGCAGAAGCTGATGGACAATTTCCTCCACCAGTTGGTAGGTGATTTATCCAAGTAGCTACTGCAACATCTGTTCAAACGCTTCTTGCTCTGCATGCCACGTTCCCTTCTCCAGAATGCAAAGCCATCGACTCGGTTAATTGCCATTGTGCGATGAGGGCTAGAGCCAACGACAGAAAGGGCTGACGATAGAAAGATTCAAAGATGATCTCACATATCAACAAAGGAAGGACAAAAACAAAGCTGTTTCGGGCAGCATCTGCTGATCTTTTTCACTAGCACTGTGAAACAAGCGACGTGAGACAGCAGAGTCCTCCCTCATCTTGCCAACGTCAGAAGTGGCGATTAAATGCAAACCTAACTGGTTGTAAATGCGTCTTTGAAGTGCAAACTAGCCTTTGAACCTGTCTGACTCCACTTATGCCAGAGCGGCTGCACTTCCTTGCTCCCCAGGTGCTGTACACTTCTGGAGTGGCGCGAGGCCTCGCACGCGTCAAAGCAAGCCAGGAGGCTCTGCAGGGGTCCGTTTAGTCTTGGAGTGCGTTGCACTTCCTTCACAGCTCATGGCAAAGAACTGCCTGGGTTCAAAGATGTTTGTCGCGGATCCCCAGCCCATGTCTGCGTCTGCTTGGGGCACCAGTCTTTCTGTCAGCATTTGGACAGGACCGGAACCAACGGCAAGCGCCATGGTCACGGGACGAGCCCGGCAAGCACATGCAAAGTCCACCACCCAAAGGCAAAGGGGCTCAAAAGGAATAGCCGACTGAACCTCAATAGCATCTTGGCTTTGGGGGCCAGGGCGGTGGAAGTCATACTCTACAAGACACCGCTGAACTCCGCGAAACACTGCCTCTAACTTTGGAGCCGGGCACGAAATCCATCCGCGGGCATCATAAGAAGCCGGTTCTGCCGGCCGGTGGCGCATGCAGTCAATTCTGCACGGGGAGGGTCAGGCATCTTTCCTTGTGTCGCGGTACTGAGCAAAAACGCACTTGCTGCAAAAAATGTTGATCAAGCTATTATGCTGGCCTCGTTCACCTCATCCTCGTGCCCCAACGAGATCAACCCGTTTGCCCACAGCCAACATGCCTCATGTGCTGCTTATCGCCTTCAGCATAGCCATGTTCCACCGCTTTTTCCCCTTCCTCCTCCCTCTTCTCTTCAATCTGCCAGGCATCTTCTTGCCCTTGGCCTTCCTCTTGTTTCGAATCTGCTGCTGCTGCTCCACCCGCTCGCTGTTGTACTTGATCTGCTTCCGGTGGGACACCTCGTCGTCCAGCTCCTCGTCCAGGTCGTCGTCGTCATCGTCGTGCTCCTCCTCCTGCAAAACACGCGGACCTCTGGGGTCAACACGGACTCAGTTCACCTGTAAATTCATAGGTGCGCAGTCGCGGGAACACGGATGCAGCCAACCAAGCAGTTGATCGAGCTCTAGGGAATGCATGGCCGCCGTGTCAGCAACCAGACAAGCATCGCATCACACATTCGGTCAGCCAAATGTCTGCAATCACACTGCACTTCCATCACATAAAGTTTCTTCCAACCTCCCAGCCCGCGCAACCTCCCCCAGCGTCTGTCCTGCACTGTGAGCTTGATCCGAGCCTCTGACTGGCTCCGCATCATCAGCTTCTCCTCGTAGCGCTCGTCCTAAGGGGAGCAAGGGAAGGGAAGGAAGCTCATGCGACCCTCAGCTAGGGCTGGAAGTGAGTGGGTAGGTAGGTAGGTAGGTAGGTAGGCTGGCAGGTAGCTACAGGGGCGGGGCTGGGCGGGCGTCAAGGTAAGGAAGGAAGGAAGGAAGGAAGGAAGGAAGGAAGGAAGGAAGGAAGGAAGGTAGGAAGGTAGGAAGGTAGGAAGGTAGGAAGGTAGGAAGGTAGGAAGGTAGGAAGGTAGGAAGGTAGGAAGGTAGGAAGGTAGGAAGGTAGGAAGGTAGGAAGGTAGGAAGGTAGGAAGGTAGGAAGGTAGGAAGGTAGGAAGGTGGGTGGGTGGTAGGTAGGTAGGTAATGACCATGGCATGTTTGTAAGGATCACCCCGAGATTTTGACAGATGTCAATATGTATACTGACACACTGACCCAACGGGAGAAAGCCCGCACGGGCCATATTGAAAGTTTACATGTTTGCTGTTTATTAGGCGTTAAACAGAACATCAAGGAACTGGGCATAACACTATGCTGGCTGGCAGGGCTCACGCAAACGGTTTTCTTGATTGGAACCCTTGCAATGGTACTTTTCAACTGCAAATTATTACAAATCATCTGACCAATCATGCTACTCAAGAAGCGCCTCACCACCAATATCAGACTTGTTCGCAGAATGGTTTCTCTGGCCTGCACACGGTGGGATGTGGCATGTTGCCCGTGAGCATGCGAAAACAGGCGTGGCTTGTACCTCCTTCACCCAAAATATCGAAAACGGAAGATGCTGCTTGTACCTCCTTCACCCAAAAAAGACGTGTATTTTTGGCAATTCGTCGAAAGCGAGCCAAAAGGACGCCATTTGGAGGGGTCTCCTTGCACACATGCAGTTTCAAAACCGGGAACTCCTCCAAGTAGTTGCCCAGTTGCCCCCCCTTCAAACAGAAAACGAAAAGGACACCCTTTGCCTTTCGGCTTTCGGCGTCCGATCCGAGGCGGCACATCCGAGGCGCGTCCAGGCGCCGCTGGCGGTCGCTGACCTCCTCCAGGGGAGCCGTGAGGCTCAGGAGCTTCGAGATCTTCCTGACCAGGCTGCAAGGCGTGGTAGCCGAGGACAAAACTGGGTTGTTCTCCCGCAACCAGTAGATTTCCAATAACGTTGTTGAGTATTTGTTTGGGGTGGTTCAAAGGCAAGGGCGAAGGAACACCCATGCAAGCAGTTGGGGTATGAATCTTTGTTGGCGACCGTTTGGTGGACCTCGCTTGCATTATACAAACAAACATTCATAGCCGTAGGAAAATCTTACCACAAGCAAAAACCACAGGAAAAGGACCACCCAAAGTACACTTGCAATGTTTAGCCGTGTTGGACTTCAACCCAAAAAGGACCCTATAGTCAGGGGATCAGACCCTGCTCGCTACCAGATTTGTCCCGCACCTCATGAACACAAGGAGGGCAAGTCAAGCTGGGCCAGAAAATGGTTTCGAAGGACCTGGCTGAGCCAAGTTGAGGAAAACCGCTGAATCAGGGATGCAATGGACTTGAGCTATGGCAAGCAACTACTGGAGGTACAAAGTGTGAAACATGTTGGACTTTGCACACAAAGGCAAGGGCCTTAGAATGGATCTCCGCCCAGCACGAGCCAGGTAGGTTTGCATTGGCTAGAAAACGAACTGACATCAAACGTGCATCAAAAAAACACCTCTAAGCAAGAGCAAAGAAACGCTATTGGTAGCAAAATAACACCAACAAGCAAAAGCCCGCCTAAAAATTGCAAGAACGACCTTGACAACCAAACTTGACGGGAATTGGAGTAGTTTTCAACTCCGCTGAGCGTTATTAGTAGCTTTATAGCCCCTTCCGCAAGTAAAGCATGGTCTGAACTCTCAGCGCAGCACACAACCACAGCAAACGCTTCAAAGTTGCACTTCTGAGCAAGCTGAATAAGCACAGCTGTGCTCACACCAAGCAGCAAGGTGAAAAACAAGCAGTTAACGCATAGGACGTGCTGCTGCCAAGCCATCGGCAACGCGTGAAAGCTTCAGAGCAAGCTCAAGAAGACATTTCCCGGACCAAAAAGTCTCCAGTTGGAGACATACCAGTTGTCACATTGATAAGAGAAGATTTGCACTTGATCATAGCCACAAGGCCGAGAAGGTATGACTTCTCTATGTGAAGCTCCTGGCATGCAGCAAATTCAATTATTCGCCTGCTGCAGTAATATGCCTACGCGGGCCCTGATATGTCCACTCTCCTTTTGCCGCTTTACCACCAGGAAAAAAATAACTCCTCGGAATCCTTCCAGAGACAGAATCTCGTCAAGGGAGCGTCTGGAGACGGATTGGAAAATCAGAATATTTCAACCTTGTCTCAGAAAACCAGCCTGAAGGAGAGGGGTCTGGAGACTGAGACTTGGATTGGACAAAAAAAAGCTTGTGAGTGTCAGCTTCCTTCCAGAGTGAGAATCTCCCAGTCCAGAAAAAAAAAAAAAAAAAGAAGAGCAGAAGACGCGAGTGGGTGTGGAGACTGAAACTTGGATTTGAAAAAAGCTTGTGAGTGTCGGCTTGCTGGAAACTGAGTCCGGAAGTGTGAAGGAGCCAATCCACCTACTTCTTCCACAGCCAAGCCACTTTTCAGACAAGGAAGCCGTTCAGGCACTGACTGGCAACAGACATTGGAAAAAATGAAAGAGTTGTTTGTGAACTAAATCCGCATGCAAAGCTGCATGAACCGCCAACTATGACATGCTCCCTGTCTTCACATCGAGACATTGAACAAAGGCGACGGCCCAGCGGCAACTCGCATTGCTCCAGCACGTGCTCCACCTCCACCTTCTCGTCCTCAGCGTCTCAAAATTTGCTCGGAACCTTGTTTTGGCAATTGTTTGTTGGAATCTGAAAGGAAGAGGTGGATATTGTGCGTTTCCCAACACCAACCTCAGGATCCTGAAGTTCATGTCCCATTCCATTCTGAAAATGGCAAAGTCAAGCCGACCATTTGGATCATCCTCCAGTCAGACATAGAGGACAACGTGCCAAGCCAGGCTTGGTGACTTGCACTGTGCTAAACTCCACGGGTTGACTGTAGCCATCTGTTTCTGTCTTAAACACAAGGAACCCTCCGGGAGGCACCATCTCAGCCCAGGGGCATTTGGATCCACCATGGCCTCCCCGTCCAGCTTGACAACGTGGAGCTTCTCGGCAAGGTGGCCGATGCCCGCCTTCATGTCGATCAGCAGCCTGCCCGCAGAGATAAGCTGCTCACGACAATGCCGCAAATGCCGACCGACCGACCAACCTTCCAATAGACCACCCAACCGACCACCCAACCAACCAACCAACCTACCTACCTACCTACCTTCCAACCAACCAACCAACCAACCAACCAGCCAGCCAGCCAGCCAGCCAGCCAGCCAGCCAGCCAGCCAACCAGCCAGCCAACCAACCAACCAACCAACCAACTAACCACCCAACTGCCCAACCTTCCAACCACCCAACCGCCCAACCAACCAAAATTTGCACAACCAACCTAGTGCTTGAGTCCTGCGCACAAAATCCCCCGAAATCTTTCCCCATCCCGGCAGTGCCTGGCCACGCGCTCGAACTTCCCGCGATTCCGCTCGAACTTCTCCGTGGCCTCGCCCAAGTGCAGCTCAAAGTCGTCGATGGCCTGACCGATGCGAGCCAAACATTCCGGTGGCTTGGGCGGGTTTACAGGCCGGAGGGTTGAGGGATTGACCCCAGTCCCTTCACACAGCAGAGCCAAAAGTGGACCGCGCAAGATCTGATGCTGAGGAAGCGGGCGCGGCTGCGGTCCCTTTGTGGAGCATGTCTGCCTTCCTTTCCTTTACCTTTCTTTGCTGTACTTGTCTTTTGTTTTCTCTTCTTGTCCTTCCTTTGCTTCCTTCCTTTCCTGCCTCCCTCGGCCAATAGAAACCCCTATATGCTACTATGTCCATTGCTGGTACCATGCCATTTTTGGTCTGATGCCCAACTTCAGCTTTTCTGGATGAACTCTCCAGGTCTCACCACGCTTCCCGCCTGGCGCCTGCCACCCTGGCCACCGCTGGAGAACTTCAGGTCTTCCACCTGAAGAAGCGGAAAGGGGCAATTCTCAACCCTCGGATACCATAAAGTGCCCAAATGACTCTCTCAGGAAGTGGTCAGTGCCCCAAGGGACATTTGGATGGTCCGGGAGTTGAGCAACCCTTGTAAGAGATTCCAAGGGGGTTAACTGGGGGTTACTAACCACTTCACGAATTCCTGGACCTAAGAGGGGCCTACAAGGGCGCTTTTCAGCCACTTGGTGAACCCCCCCTGGGGGTTGGAAATCCCAAAAACCTTAACGGCCAGAAAGTTTGTCCAGTCCTTCCGAAGCGAAATACCCGCTTGCCCAAGAAGCTTTGCTTGTGATGCAGCATCCAAAACGGCCCACCCAATCCCAAGAAGGACTGCTGGTGCCCTAGGAAGATTGGTGTAGCTCTTGGCGGGACCAAGGGATGCCTTTGTTGACATCGAGGACCCCCTTCTGGATTCTTACAAAGGACAACCAACAGGGAAAGCAACCAACCTTCAGCAAAACAGGAGGGTGTTCTCCCAGTTGCCCAGTGGCACCCGCGTATTGTCCACTATCAAGAAGCAAAAAGGCCCCACCAACCAGCTAATCCCTTCATAACAAAGCCCCGCCTGCAGGCGCAGGCGCCGTCGGTCCTCCGTGAGCCTGCCAGAAAAGCCCAAGCAGAATTGGAAGCGGCGGATTGGGCAGATGGCGTTTGTCACAGACTCCCACTCATGCAAATGCATCAACCTGACTGATTTGACCCCCGGCAAACGAAGCTGTCTGAATCAATGAAGTTTTTCTTTTGACCCAGTGACTTGCTGTAACATTCAAAAAACCCACGAAACGCAGGCGTGTTTGATCTGTCAAAGCAGGGACGCCCGACGAATCATTGCAAGGTGCGGCATATCCGAACGGAGTACTCCCCTGAACATTGACATGGAACCCGCGAAATCCCTACTTCTAGATTCCTTTTGGGGGGCTTTGTGGGGTCCATGTCAGTGTGGTGTGGTCAGGCGTACATTCGGTGCTCTGCTTCGTCAAGTTGTGAGCGGGTAGCAAGCCAAGCTACTTAAGGCCAGATGAAGGGTCTGATTATAATCACAAGATGACTCAAAAAAACAACCAAGCATGTATGTATTTACAATCCAATCTGCAGCTCTGCAGAGTTTCCACCAAGAGTCATCAACTGCTAATAAGACGTCCTCAGAACACATCTGTTCTGAAAGCTTCCCCATGAGAGTGTTTGACCCCAGGTTCTGCAAACCTGCCAAGCAGGCACAAGAAGCCAAAATTTGCCTCAAATTCCACAGGATTGATGAAACAGAAAGAGGAGCAGGAACTCATATGATGCATTGAGAACGGATTGGTCGGACAAGAAAAACAAACTTCTGCATGTTTCTTGTCCCTACCTACAATACTTGAGCCAACAGGCTCAGAAAGAGAAAAATGTTGCAAATAGTTCATTTAAGTAGTCCCGCCTCTCGATCTCTCAGTCATTTTGCCTGTCCAAAGCAAAGATGCCCGGCTCGCAATGCCGTCCTTCCTTGTTAAAACAGTTTGATTGTTTGACCAAAATGACATCATACGGGCTGGTTCCTCATCGTCTTAGAGAACAATTATTTTGGGATGCCGTCCATTTCCTTGAAAAAAAGGCATTGGATTTCCAAAAGAGCTACACTGGCTCGCTGAGTGCATGTGGCGCCATTCATCGCCGACTGCTTCCAACAAACTTCGCCCGGTAACAGTTCTCGGCCACTTGCCTGTCGATGGTTTCTTGATTCTCCTTTGTCAGCTGCTGCAGATTCTTTTGCGTATCCTCCTGTGTGAGGAACTTCTGAATGATCTCATTGGCATCACTGACGCCTCGCAGGGGATTGCATATCGCGACCACTGTCTAGACTCCTTTGAAAGGCGGCTCCACAAAGCAAACTCGGTCAATTCCAGTAAATAACCTTATTGTTGTTTCCAACATCAACTTGGCGAATGCCGCCCATGTCCTCCCCTTCCCTACAGTACATGACAAAGAATATAGATTTGAGCCTTTTTTGAGGGTCCAGGTTTGGGGTGGATTAAAGGGAAACCAAAACACCACCGCCATTCGTGGGGTCACATACCCATGTTGACCGCGGCATGCCAGCCTGTGGCGTCCTTGATGGCCTGGACTGCTTCCTGCCAATGCCAGCATCAACAGCGAGGCGGGTCGCAGCAAGCTGTATCTCTGAAAAGGATACCATGAGGCGAGTCTTGACCCACAAGTCTTGGATATGATGTCTGCCCCCCCGAAATGGCTTCAGTTCCTCCTTGTTTCTGTGCAAACACCCAACCCACTCCCCCCCCCCCTCCTCGCAAAGTCCAAAGGCCAAAGGCCGACAACAAAGACACCCCCAGCTTGGCATTTGTACGTGTCGACAGAATGGAAGAGAAGAAAACTGCTATCAGTTGGGTCTTCCTTCTTTGAGGACCCCCAGACAGTAGATGTCCTTTGGTTTCCCTTGCAACACCATCGAAGTCATTCGAAATACCCAATTCGGGTCGTCAAGACGAGCGAAGCCGACTTTGACACATGTCGGCTTCCTTTGCCCCCTAGAAAGCAAAACAGTGTCCTTGTAATCCATGATCTTCTGCAACTCCTCCTGCGCGGCGTCGCCAGAGTAGCCTGCGCCAGCTCCAACCAAAAGCGGGGTTGCAGTGTGGATGACCGCGTACAGTTGTAGCTTCTGGCCAACATGTTGGGCTAACCCAGGCAGGAGGCTAAACGCATTCGAAACCTGTGTCAGCCACAAGAAAAGGCAACTACACAAGCATCAACATAACGGTTTGCAGCCCCGCACTAGTCCTTGGGATTTCCCATATCATGTGTTCCTTGGGAGCAAGGATCACTTCTTGTTGGCCAGTGCTGTTCACCCCGCCTGCAGTGAACTCGGAGACGACGGAGGCCTCCTTGAGGCGCTCGTTGCCTTTCTCCTCCGGCTGCTGCTTCAAACTCTTCTCCCGCAACTCCAGGCGCTTGTTCATCCTCGATCCGCAATGCTTGCTCGAGGCTCCGTTTCTTGACAAAATCATGGCATTGCGGACCTCCGTCTCTGCTGTTCTGCAAGACCTGAAAAAGGGTGCTGATCAACTCCTCTTTCAGGGTCTTAGACAGCCTGTCACACCCTGTCTGCTTTACAGTTTGAAGTCTTGCCCTGCTGAGTCTAGCTCAAACATGGGTCACGTCCTGCCCGTGTCCGTCGTGTTTGTGTGCGTGTGTGATCGATCTTTCGGGGGCCTTCTGCGTCACCAGGTAATGGCCTGGTTTTCGCGGTCACAATTCATGTGCCCGACCGTCATGGATTCATGAATATGTTAACCAAATGCCCTTTTCTAGTTGAAACCAATCTAGCCTCACGGATTGATCCTCTTTTAATGGCGAGCAACCCCGCTCACCGTAGCCAGGCTGCTCCACGCGCTGCTCCACCAGGATCTTCTTCTCCTGCACCTCCTTGTCCCGCTGGTTCCGCTCCTCGAGGCGGTCAATGGCCGGAAAACGGTGTCCTTTTGACACCCGGAACCGAACCCAGGAGTGATGCACTCGTCCCATTTCACAAGGGAATCCTCCGCTAGAAAAGCCCCGCATGTACATGATCTCCACCAACCGATCCCTTTCCAATTATGATATTCATGTGGGAGTGGGTGTTTTTAAAGGGCAAGCTTTTAACCTTGGCTAACCAGAAACGAAAAGGAACCATTGAGGGTCCCCCTATTTTGGCACATGACATACCCATTTTCTCCCTTCCCGTCCTCCATGACACCCTGCTCGAATCTATGCAGCTCCGCCTGCGCCATCTCCTGGCACAGACATTCTTGCAATCGACGGCACTCAACATCTTTCCAATAAGCCAAAGGTGTCCCCAATAGCAACCCGTTGTTTTTGTAAGCAATAGACTGCAGGCTCAACTTCAGCCACACATACCCAACACACTTCTTGTCTTTGCCCGGGTCCTTCGCGTGGTAGGCGTCGTGAGACAGCAACAAGAGCTCTTCATAGTCCCGCTCCTGCTTGGCAAGCAGGACAAACATGGTGGCTCAACATGCCCTTGATCTCCTTTGAGACTTGACCTCAAAACCATCCAAAAAAGGGTTCCCCGCTTTGAGAGCCTTTTGACCCCACTCACAAGCTTCACCTGCGATGGGCGAAATAAGTCGCTTCGGTGTGCCATCACACACCACTGTCTGCAGCTGTGGAATGACAAGGTGCAAGGTCAACTGAGCCAGACTTACAAGGCCTGTTCACGTCAAAGACTAATACTTTCATGGGCCGAAAAGACCAGGTTGCAACCCTGACCTGTCTACTTTGTTTGACATCTTCAATGGCCCTCTCGAACACCTTCAAATCTGAATAACACCAAAATTTGTTGCGGGCATTATCGTATGCGTTACTGACACCCTGACTCTAGCGAGGTATCCACCCCAAACTGAGATGGCGGAGCCACCCGCCTTTTGGGGAGGGCTTCTCTACGCGGCTTTCATGGCCACCCATGGTCTGCCAATCACTTTGTCCATTGCTCGCATGATTTTATGGAAGCTCGTGGCATACAGTTGGCTTCTATCCAGTCGGACCTCCCTAAAGCTGACTGCTCGCGGCATGCCTGCAGGCCATGTCGTGGGATTCTTGGCCCGAATCCATCTTGCGGCATGGACGAGTGCCCCCATTCGCCGATCATCGCTCCTTGGCCTTCAGAGTGCGCTCGATGGCCGCAAGCTGATTGTCGAAGCCGATGCGCTCGTCCCGGAGGCGCTTCACGATGGCCTCGTAGGTCTTTCGGATGCTCTGCGCCTGGGCCGCGACAGCCACGAGAACTTGAAAGCTGACTGAAGTCCCCGCCGCGCTTCGGCTTGGTGAGCCTTCACATGGGGAGTGCAACAGATCTAATCGGTGCGTCCCACGACAGGAATCCACCGGAAGTTACCAGCTCCTAATGACCTCAGCGGCACACATACTCCCCTCCATTGCCACAAGGAAGTGAGCTGTTGTTCCCACCCAAGAGGGTGACACACACACACACACACACACAGACACACAGACACACAGACACACCCACGCACGCACGCACGAACACGCACGCACGCACGCATGCATCAAGCAACCAAGGTTCCCACCAACGCATCTTTAACCAAAACAGGGGAAAAGCCACCCCGAATCCGTCCGTGCGTCACCCAACAAAAGTGCAAGACCCCTTCTCCGCCCAAAAATATGCATCACGAGGAAAACAAAACTGCAAGCATCCCACCCCTCTGCTGTTTCTCCCTTTTGTCTACCTTCAGGATCCCGTACGTTTCCACCCCGCCCCCGCAAGCCCAGCTGAACTTATCCATCCTACACCAGCTCCCGCCCATCACTCCCTGAATCCCTCTGTTCCATGTATTCCCGGTATTTCCCAATACTCCCCAGCAAGGACAGCCGCCTCGTTGTACTTGATCATTACCTTGTCCAGGCGGTTTTCCAGGACCCGGATGTGCCGCATCTCCGGACTCGCCTCGGACCCGTGCATCGTGGCGCCCACCAAGAGCTCGCCCTTCTTGATGTCCAGCTGGTCCAGGTGACCCCGCCTCAACCCCAAACCGAGAGCAACCCACAGGGTGCTCAAACCGAGTTCAACCTGCAGCCGCACTTTCTGTGCGACTGCTCTGTTCGTTCTGAATCCCACAAGAATGTCCTACATAACCTTACTCAGTCAGCCTCCCCTTCGAAACCTCCAGCGGTCTGGCCCAATACGCCTGTCCAAATGAAACTCGTCAACCAGTTCAACGGCACAAAGGGCTTCCCACCAGCTTGCTGTTTCTGATTGGGAGCGGTAACGCAACCCGGCGGCTTCTTGTTGTTCTCGTTCTTCAGCAGGTCATATCTCCTGGCCCAAAACTCAGGGTCTGCGTGGCCTTCTTGGCTGCGGTGCGGGAACGCTGCGCCCCTCTGGTTTTTACACGTTTCCACATTTGCAGAATTAAACCTTTCCTTACGCCATGGGATATTCGATCACGGCAACACACATGCATCGCGCCAAAGTCTGTTGAGTCGCAACCTCCCATGCTTCGCCAGCTATAATCATCATTTCGACGGCATGCTCGAATATGCAACATCGTTCCAGCTGCATAACATTTGCACAAGGCAAGTTAAGGTTCTATTGGCATGCCTGCAGCCTTCAAGACCCCAGTTCAAAAGTAAAACCTCACACAACTTATCCGCAGGTTGTTTAATTTGTTTACTGATTGCATCCTCAAAACATGCAGAGGCTGAAAAAATGCAAGAAACCCAAACCTCAAAGCTCTGAAACCTGCACAAGCTCAAGAACATGCTAAAAATGCAAAACCCAGATGCAATGTCAGTGGTCAGGGCTTGATTGGTCTGGACTTGATTGGACTTGATTCATGTATTTATTTGTCTGTTTGTTCGTTCGTTAGCTTGCTTGTGTGTTCGCTCGCTTGTGTGTTTAATTGTGTATGTTTGTTAGCTTGCGCGGTCGCTCGCTTGTTTGTTTGATTCCTTGGTCGGGTTTGTTTGTTTCCCCACCCGACAAGAAGGGGTTGTTAGACTTTATGTTGGAATCCGCGCCCCCACCCAGTATCCCGCCAGAGCAGCTCGCCAGTGGATCCCGCCGAGTATCCCGCCAGAGCAGCTCGCCAGTGGATCCTGCTGAGTATCGCCAGAGCAGCTCGCCAGCGAATCCCGCCGAGTATCCCGCCAGAGCTGCTCGCCAGTGGAGCCCGCCGAGTATGCCGCTGAGTATCCCTTGCCGTTGGATCCTGCCGAGTATCCGGCCAGTATCGAGCCGGAGCGGCTCGCCAGCATTCACCAGTGGATCCCGCAAGTATCCCGCCAGAGCAGCTCGCCAGTCTGGTTTTGCTTAATGTCCCGCCCGGCGCACAGTTGGGTTTACATTTCATGTTGGCGCCTTCGTGTTTTGAGTGCACCCTGAGGCTCGGAAAGGGTGATGCTTTTGTGTTGCTTTGGGCTGCGAAGAAGCAACTTCGTTTAATCCCGCGTCGGGTTTCTTTTTGGAAGGGGCTTGGCTTTTGTTCACGGAACCGATGTTTGAGTTCTCGAGATCGGCTCGCAGACAAGTGGAGTTTGAGACACAGACAGGTGGATAAGGCTCTCAATGCAATGCTTGTTGAGCAGTCATAGGCCCCAAGCCACTCGAAAACCATGCTTGAATTCACACAACCGTGTTCACGGTCGTAAGCTCGTGCGTGCGGAGGGTGGGGATTGCTCGAAGCGAAGTAATTTGCATTTGTTGAGCCTGTGCAGGTTTCAGAGCTTTTAGCTTTGGATTTTCTGCTTCTTTTTCAGCCTGTGCAGGTTTTGGAGCTTTGGGCTCTCAAAACATGCGTAGGCTCAAAAAATGAAAAAAGAATTCCAAAGCGTTTACTTGCTTCTAAATACCATTTTCATAGAAGGCTCGCGCTGCAAAACTTTCAGCTTCTGACATCATGGCTGCTCATAAAAAAGAGATACCTTGAATGACCTTATTTGAGCTTCGTGCAGCAAAGTAAGCTATCAAACAAATTGCGCATGAAGTACAGGTCGGTGACATCAAAAACGATTTTTCAAATATATTACTGTTTAAATTATCAGTGTTTACAGACTGTGCACGTCAAATCGTGGGCCCTGGGGGGGGAGCATATATATTTATTTATTAATTTAGTTTTGATCTTGTGTGTATATATGTATTGTATTTTATACAAATTTACTTATATATTTCTATCTAAGACCCGTCCTCTGCATCTGCTGTACTTCGTGCATCGTGGCCTCCAGAATCTTCTCCAGGCTCTGAGGCTTCTCGTCTCGCAGCGACGCGATCTGATTCCGCAGCCTGGCTGGAAAAACACTGATTGAGAGACAAACAAGATGTGCAAGAGAGAAAAGCATTCAGTTTGCCCAGCTGTTGACTGTGAACATTTGGAGAGAAACATGTAAAGCAAACAAACTGAACAAATTGCGAAGGAACAGCCTCCTTTTCACCCAGTAAACCAACTGGTTTCTGGGGAAGCTCTACACTTTAAAGGAACCCCTATGAAAGGGAACAAGGGAAGGAGCACTGGGGACTTTGAGGAAGCCTTGGCAAGTTGAATATTTGGAATAGCAAATCGGCGATCAGTGCAAAAGCTCCGCAAATGCAGCCAAGTGACGTCTTATTCTCATCTTTCATCTGGCCGATGATTTCCTTCAGCAAGGAACATCGATGCACTTCTTCCAAGAGACTTATCATGATTCTTGCATTTCGCAGCAACTACTAGGGCTTGAAGCATGTGGAAACTTCAACAGAAGCCTCGGCAGTGCAGTGCTCTGGGCAGCAGACCGACAGAGCTGTCTTATCTACGACCCGCAGCCTTTGCCACCACAGCTACCCCAAGCGCTCTTCACTCCCAACTCTTACCTCATCTCAAAAGACAAAGACTGTGTTCAGGTTTGTGTATGCGAAGAAGGGTAAGCTGGCACTTTCGTTTTGTTGCCGCCTGCCCAGAAAAAATATATATGAGCAGACCCAAAGAGGTTTCTCAGTGTCTGAAAAAGAAAACTCATGTTGCCAGAGGTGAGCTCGCCATTCATGTCTTTCCAACTCGTTGTTCATGTCAAGCGGAGTAGCGGAGCCCAGGGGACGACCGAATGTGTCCATCCAGCCAGTCCTTGTTCTGCTGTATGTTCAGCTTGGCGGTCTCATAGGTTGCCTTCCTTTCCTAAGGCGGCAAACTCGGATTGTTGGCTGAGTCCAAACGGGCAGGCGTGCAGGTCTCAAAATGGCGGGGCCCAAAGCTGGTGGCTTTAAAACTACCCCCAAAAAAATAGGAACTCTCAAAAAGACACACCCAAATGAGCAGATTGATCACCCATGCAATGAAATTATTTATAAGTCATCCCACCATCTGCAGTCACCTCCTTGAAAGGTGAAGGAAGCGCTTGAAATTCAGAAGGGGCCAAGTACTCCTGATTCCTTCCAAGCATAAGGCAGGGCCTTAGGGGTTCAGCCTCAAGAGAGAGCTCGTTGGGCTGACAAAGGGAAACTGCCGTCCCCGAGAAGCTCCCTCTAGGAGCTGGAAGCGCCGCTGGAGGTCCTCCAGCTGCTCCTGCCCGGCACGTGTTACGTGTTGCAATGTGCACATTGCATAGAACCAATGTAAACTCGGTAATCACAACACATATGGCGTTTCTCACTCGTGAATACCTTGGTCAAGGCTCATATGTTTGGATTCCTGTATGCATACCCTTATGCATGGTGTGTACTGTGGTGCATGTGTGTATGATTGTATGTTTGCATATGCGTGCCTATTGTGCATTGGGTGCATGTATGCATGTACGTACACATGCATGTGTGTGTGACGATCACGCAAGCGTTCAATGTTTCTATGTTGCACATGCGCATCCAAGTGTCATGTATTTGACAATCAGGAAAAACATGGACGCCTAGCGCGAAAAGTTTGCAGTACACCATCAAATTATTGAGAGCGACGGAGTCCACTCATAATCTCTGCGTGAGTGAGTGAGTGAGTGAGTGAGTGCGTGCCTGCGTGCGTGACTAAGTGCGTGCGTGCGTGAGTGAGTGAGTGCGTGCGTGAGTGAGTGAGTGAGTGAGTGCGTGCGTGCGTGCGTGAGTGAGTGCGTGAGTGAGTGAGTGCGTGAGTGCGTGCGTGCGTGAGTGAGTCAGTGCGTGCGTCGAGTGAGTGAGTGAGTGAGTGCGTGCGTGTGTGCGTGCGTGCATGCGTGGGTGGGTGGGTGGGTGGGTGGGTGCGTGCGTGCGTGAGTGAGTGCGTGAGTGCGTGAGTGCGTGAGTGCGTGCGTCAGTGCTTGCGTGCGTGCGCGCGCGCAGGCGTGCGTGCGTGCGTGAGCGTGCGTGCGTGCGTGCGTGCGTGAGTGAGCGAGCGAGCGAGCGAGCGAGCGAGCGAGTGCGTGAGTGAGTGCGTGCGTGAGCGAGTGAGCGAGTGCGTGCGTGAGTGCGTGCGTGCGTGAGTGAGCGAGTGCGTGCGTGCGTGAGTGCGTGCGTGCGTGAGTGAGCGTGAGTGCTCATTGTCCTTGGAGCATCTCTTGATGAGCTCGAGAACATCCAGGAGAAACAGCACCCCAATTTGCTGAAATGAATGGTTTGCTGAGTGATATCAATGACAGCTTCCAGGGCCCGAAACATTCCATTGAACAACAAGAAAAAGGTCTGTAGAGGCGGTATGTCTAAGTGGAGTGACTCAGAGTGAGAGTGGTTGAAAGCCAGTGAGTTGAAGTTGAGGGAGTGAGAGCAAGTATGTGTAAGTGAAGTGAGTGAGAGTGAGTGGTTGAAAGTCCGTGAGTGTAAATTAGGTGAGCAAGTACGTGAACGCTGAGTGAGAGTGAAGAGGAGGCGGAGTGAGCGGCGCGGACGACGACATTAAATATAAGAACCAAGAACAAGGTGGGGAAAAAAGATCGATACCAAGCGTCAAAGAAAAAGAACACATCCCCCAAAGTTCAAAAGTGACACTGCGGCATCGTTATGCTGTGTCTGGTGATCAGTGAGTGTCATTTCTTGATATTCCTGAGTCTGTGATGTGTGGAGAATCAAACCTAACAAACAAATGGGTCATATCCCTCTTGAAAGCTTGCAAATGCCTGTCTGACCATTGTATGTGCTGTTGTGGGCAACCCGCATACAGCCTCCCACCTCTGCCACCTCCCAATCACAGTATCCCAGGTGTGCCAAGCTACTCTGACTACCCTTCAAAATGGCATGTTCGCACATCCAATACACCGCCATAAAGCGCTTTTTAAACATGAACAATGCCGCAGAGAAGCAAACATGTCAGACCGCAGAATATGCGTTCTTTTTTTCCTTGGGGGGGAGTGTTGTTTCCGTTTGAGTTGTATCTCCGAACAAAACAAACACACAGCCTGGCAGTTTCCCCCCTCCTCCGGGGTCATGGCAGTCTTGGCCATGACCCAGAGTGCCAAAAGCTCCGAGGGGAAGCCCTACCTGCGGAGTTGTCAACGCTCCAACCTACCAGAAACTGTTGGGCCTTGAAAGGGTTCCAAGAAAAGGTTCCAAGAAAAACGCTGGAAGCAGCGGGAAACATACGTCACCCTTTCTGGGCACAAGAAGAACACATCGGACATCCACAAGGCTCCCTGTCCAATAGGAAACATAGCCAAGGTCTTACCACAAAACAGAAACAACGAATAACAACGAATAACAACGAATAACAACGAATACTCGCCTGCACAGCTCCCACTCTTTCCAACACCCCCTGGAATGATTTCGACCCCTTGACTTGAAGGACTCCAAGGGACCGATTCCCACACGCTCCGGCTCTGGGGGTAATCAAAGCCTGGCAAAGGAGCCTGCCCAAACTGTCAAGACTCCAAAGGCCGGCACTCCTTGGAACTTGTTTCCCTTCCATCCGAGTTCTGCTTGTGGCCCAAGTGCACCTTGTGCCGCCATCCCCCGCCTACGCGAGAAGCCGTTGGCCGCGCTGGCCGTTGGCCCCCGAAATCCCCCGAAGCCGCTGGAGCCGAAATGGACAGCACAAGGCTCGCCCAACGTCAAGGGTTTGGCAAATCGGTCTGTTAGGGGACAGAAAAGAAAGGAAAAAGGTAGAGCTGTCAGGCTGTGAGGCCTTGGGAGATTCAAGTCAAGGAAACGACTGGTCTTCAAAGTGCAAGGCTTCGAAACTCGATGTGAAGACTGCAGCGACGCTTTTTGCCAACGTCGCACCCCAGGGTCACCTCAGGCGACCACAGGTGAAAGCTCAAGACAGGCCATGCCTTCGAGGCGACCTGACCCCAGCTGTTGGATGGTCTTTGCCAAATGCGCTATCCTTTGGAGCTCGGACTGCAGTTGTTGAATTTGTACTCCTGGATATTGCCCATCATGATGCGACCATGATGCATGGCTTTCATCGCATGATGTGGTCCTGTCCAGCGCATCCACTCTCGATGACACTGCTCTCAGCCAGTTTCTGCCCCTCGTACTCAGAACATGCCATGCAAGGGATCTCTTCCCATGAACCAGAAGTAGAAGAGCGTGCCAAGGAATCCATGATACAATCCCAGAGGCAGAACATTTCGATGGAGCAAGTATTCGATCGCCCATGGAACTCCCATGGCCCCAGTAGCGGCCATCAACCAAGGGTCAGGCCAGTGAACAAAGGCGAAGGCGGTGGCCGAAACGACAACACACGCTGCAACAGCCAGCAAGCTCAACAGCTTTGGCTCATTCAGGAAGGCGTCAAGAACCGAGCGCTCATCTGACCCGGTAACACACCAACTCAGGTTCCGCATCAAGAATGATTGTAACATCACGTGTTGCAACACGCCATAGAAGGGATAGAGAAAAAAGATCAGCCACAAGTGCCAGTTGTCGAACCTGATCTCCTGGTTTGCCACCGCGCAACCCACGCAAATGAAGACCAGAGCAAGAACAGCAAAGACACTCGGCAAGAGAAAGCTCTTCTGCACGTTGGGCTGGTCGATACGCACGCCCCACACGAAAAGGATCCAAGCCCCATGCCTCCAGAGCTGGAAAAAAAACCAAGAAAGCCACACCAGGGCACAAGAGCCGATGAATATTGACAAGGGCTCTAAAAGCTTTGCAATGAAGATTATACCGGTAATCAACGTCGCAGCAACCTCAAAGCATCTCTCCCAGCGATTGATTTGGTGGAAAGCCTTTGCAGCTGCGGGTGAAGCATCTTGCTTCACTTCTATTGCTATGCCTTCTGTGGGTGCTCCAACCTGCATGGATTCAAATTCTTCCGTCTGCCATGGCAATCGAGGTTAAAGACTACTGACTTCACGTGTCACACTGCTTGAGCCCAGGGACGAGAGTCACCACCAATCCAAACAACCAATTCAGGCAATGCAGCCAAAATTCAGAAGTTGCGATCTTGACCGCCGCTCGGTCCACGCGAGCTGGTTGGCTGAACCCAGAGCAAATCGTCCACCCACGCAAAACTTGCTTCAAAAACAAAACAACAACCACAAAAACTTGAAACGAGCAAGCCATGTAGTCGCGTCCAAGCCTCAGTCAAACCTAAAAGAAAGCCTTGCGCTCAGGATCGACACAAAAGAACCACACAATCCACCACCAGCGCACTTAATTCCCCCTTTCGGACCTCTTAGTTCCACGGCCCACTTGGGCCGGCCATTTGCGTCCAAGGTCCACTTTGGCGCTTGAATTTACTTGGGTCCTCCTGGGCCTCTTGCGTCCACTTGGGTCTGACCCGACGTCCACTCGCCTGCCCTGGCCTTGGCCTGCCCCCTGGACATGCCCGAGGCACTGGCGGCGCCCAAAGCTTCCGGGCCGTGCCTCGAGGTGACGAGGCACTTTAAGAGCGGTGAGTGTGAAACGGCGACGACGAATACGATGTGCTCAGGAAACCTGGAACCTGACATCAAAAAGAATATGATCTCCCCCAAAGCCACTTCGCTCAGGTCCCACATTGCGGGCGTTGCTCTGGCACTTTGGAGCAACAACAGGTTTCCAAAATGAGTGCGGTCAAGTCCGAATGTTTCCTTGGATGGAGGTAAGTCGAAAAATCACCACCACATTCTGACTAACAGCAAGACTTTCACCAGCAAGACATTCTGCGCCCTCAACATGCGTAACCTCAAGCGACGTCAAACGAATCTGTGGAGGCTGCATGTATGGTGTGAAAAGTCGGTGGAGACTTGTAGAGACTTGCCACCCTGCAAGCCCTGTCTTGCCAGCGGCCAAACACGTAGCTGCCGTGCAGCATCCGCATACGACAGGTCTTACAAAGCTCGCTAAACTTGCGAGCTGTCAACAAAAAGGCATCAAATTAGAGGGCAGTATTGAACCCATGTCCACCTTGTCTCTTGTGGCTTTGCAAACCTTTTGGCGAACACATTAACATATTCATGGGTCCGATTCGCTTCAGTAACTCGCCACCAGCAATGTTTGCTTTGAGAAGACCAGTGCCAGCAAACGAAGGCGGGATTGCTTGGAGTTAGGCCCACCCAAACACGGTTAGTTCCCTTGTAAACAAATATGCATGGGAGAGTCGTAGGTCCTCCTCGCGCTCGTGAACACGGTCTAGTAATTTTGGCTGTTCTTGCTGTACGTCCGCAAAGGACTTTGCAAATTGTCCAGTCTCTCCCACAAAACACCTGGAAGAGAAACCAGGTTCTGCCTGCATTGTGCCAACCACACACCAACCTCAAACGGGCCCTAAACACCAGCACAAAGCACCAACCAGTATCTCCCTCCAACTGGAGGTTTTCAGGGTCAACTCAACCCTCCACCGAATGCACTGGCTGGCTGGCTGGCAGCTGGGGCCGCCCGGCTGCTGGAAGTGCCTTCCCACCTGCAAGGCCAGCTCGGCCTTGGAGGAAACGCGTGTTCCGCCCACACGGAGAGTCACAAAAATGGGACACCTGCCGAGGGTTGAATCATTTTGGATCCCATGGAGCTGGTCCTCATTGAGGCAAGATGATTGTTCCTGCATGCATTGTCCGCTCATCCCAGCCCAATGCCACGTGTCGACAACTCTTCATGGTATGTCCATGCGCGGCCGACAACTCGATCCGAACGCCCCTGGGTCAGCTACCCAGAAGGACAAGAAGCCATGCTGCGAGACAACCTCAGGCAAAACCCCGGCTCCCTGCGGGCCCCCGCCCAAACTCAGTAGGACACATCTAATCCTTTGGGGCAGTTTCCCCTCGCCCTTCACCCCGCCCGCATTGCGCATTGCCTGCCAAACATCGCTGAACCCTCCTGAAGGACATGGGCAGGATAAAGTAGGGCGTGCATGTTTGAAGTAAGGCTTCCATGCTGGGTGCAAGTTCCAACCTGACAAAACCTCAGGCACTGGTGGGGCAAACGCAGGCCGCTGTGTTGTGAGAAGGAGGGGTGCGCACAGAAACACACACACACACACACACACACACACACACACACACACACACACACACACACGCATTGCAACCCTGGAGAGCGTGCCGATCCTTCATCTGCCAAAAGCATCCCGGCACAAGTCAGCTGTGGTCAGCTCCCTTTCTGCCGTGCATAACAACAAAATTGAGACAAGAGCTCCAAGCGCCTCGTGGTCGAAAACCCTCGCAGGCCCCGGGCCACTAGGCTGCGCTGCATGCAGTGGCGCTTGCTCGCCTGGCAGAGAATCGGATGGGTAACCATAGTTGCGAGAACAATCCTGCTTGAGCTGGACACAAGCGCCAGGTCGATGCAACAAAATGCTACAAATGGCGGTCAAAGGTCGCAGCAAGACTTGAAAAAACAAAATTATGCGCCCCACCGCAAGCTGCGAGGCCTCATCAGGCTGCTGCTGAAAGTGGGCTGCCTGCGCAGTCAGAAAAAACAAGCCCAATAGAACCGCACCTGTGCAGTTCCATCCAACTTCATCGAATCCCATCTCACAGTCAGATACTTCTCCTTGATTCCACTCAAATGTGTCCTACTTGCAAAGGCGCATCAACTTTCTGCCCAACAATGTAAGGACGTGCGCACTACACCTGACATAACCTGAGGAAATGACCCCAAATGGTTCGAGCAAGGGCATAAGTTATAAGCGGGGCTAATTCTCCAATACCAAAATTCTTAGAAGCCATCCCAGGCCCCCTCCACTTCCCAGCCGGGTGCCCGGGCCGCGTAGTAGAAATCCTCCTCTTTGGTCTTGAAAGTCCTTGCGCTAGTACCAAACTGGATTGTCCTGATTGAAATTGGATTGAAGTTGCACCTACCATGAGGGGATGATGGTTTGTTGCACCAACAACCGAAAATGGAGATTGCTAAAATCACTGTTAATGCTCGGGGCTGTAACCCAAGCCTTCCCTTTCTTGAGGTCCTCGCAACCTCTGTCGGCCATGTCAACGATGCTAGCCCGCACAAGTGAATGTCCGCTGGCCGCGTGAACGCTGAAATGTCCCAAACCAAGGACAAATGCCAGAGCACATGATGCATCCCTTCATGCAAGGAAGCCCTGTTTTTTGTTTTCCTCCTTCTTTCTTTTCGGCAGCATCCTTTGAAGCAAGACTTCCAGAATACGATGCTGCTCTCCGCTTCTGGAGCAGTGAGCATAAAAGCTGTCATTGGAGAGGCCCAAATCATGTAGAATAAATCAAACCAGTTCCCTGCACACATCATCATCATCATCATCATCATCATCATCATCATCATCATCATCATCATCATCATCATTGTGTTTATTCGCCTGTGGCAGTATCCGTGCTCCGGGATTGCTGCCGTGGCCGTGTGGGTGTCCAGCGCCGCTGTTGCACCGCCGCCCTTACATCCGCCGCCCTGGAAAGAGCCTGGATGTTTGCCTTGCTCAAGTGCAGTGCTGGCCAGCCAAGCCGCTGGAGTTCGCTGGCCGGCTGTGCTGCGTGCTGCTGCAAAGCAGGGCAGGCCCAAACTTCGTGGTGGAAGTCTGGGACAGTTTCCTGCCCGCAGTGAGTGCATTTCGGCTCAGGGGCCTGGTTGTGCATGACGGCGAACGCAGCCGTGGAGACAAAGTGGTGACGTGTTGCCAGGTGGTGCTGGAGCGTGCTGGCCCTGTTGGGCTGGCCTCGCTTCCGTCTCTTCCGCGGGATGGGGATGTCCGGGGAGATGCTCATGCCCCAGGGGCGGTAGTTGACCAGCCGTGGCGTTTGAGCCACTTTTTGGCAAGACCGACTGGGCCGGGTGTGAGCTTGTGCGGCCAAAAGGCTCGGACGCCTTCTTCCACAGCCGCGCTACCGTGGCTTGGTAGCCGCTCTTGAAGAACGGGTCGCCAGCGTGTCTGTGGATCAGCTCCTGCAAAGGGCCGGGGCGGCCGTGGGCCAAGCAAGTCATGGCCGAGGGCTGCAAGCACACCTTGGTCCACGCCGCCGCCCGCAATGGCATCTGGCGCGACGTCGAAAAAACCTGGCTATGCGCTACATGCCTCGCCAGGGAACGACCCGCCAGATCGCTGAGTGCGTGTGCGAACCTACCCACACCTCCTGGTTTCCCCGCAGACGCGCCAGGCGTTGGCTCAACCTGTCTGAAAGCAAACGGCAGAAGATCGGTGCGCAGCGTGGAGACTGATACGATCAACACGATCCCTGCACAAGCCAGACAGCTGGAAGCCAAACCGGTTACCAAAGAAACCACGGCCCATAAAGCCAGCGGCGCTGCCCGCCAAACTGCCGCAAAGCAGAAGAAACCAGAAAAAGTGCGCTCCCTGCCAGGCCTCGCCAACGCAAGGATGGCCACCCCTGAGCTCCGGTTGCATCACCCGCGACAGGGCCCCCAGGCAAGGCCCAAAACGGAATGGATCCCTGACCTGACGGAAGAGAGGATTGAACCCCACCCTGGACCGAGCAGTTCGAGACAAAAAACACGGACACCCAAATGATGGTCAAACAAGCAAGACAAGCAGCGCCTGCCCGGGCCTCGCCGAGTTCTTCTACGTCAGCGTGGCGCCGTTAGGCGACCGCGACCAGCGGCCGGTCCCGGACCCAGGCAGCAACACAGAGCAAAGCACACTCTGCACACAGAGGCAACAGTAACAGCAGCAGCAGAAGCAGCAGCAGCCAAGCAGACAGCAAGCAGGCCATCACGGCTCGAACCAACACACCTGTCCAGTTCCCTGCACACATCATCATCATCATCATCATCATCATCATCATCATCATCATCATCATCATCATCATCATCATCATCATCATCATCATCATCATCATCATCATCATCATCATCATCATCATCATCATCATGTTTGATCGCCGGTGGCAGTATCCGTGCTCCGCTTGCAGCACCGCCGCCCTGATGTCCGCTGCCCGTGACAGGACATCTATGTTTGCTTGCTTGCTCACGCGCACGGCTGGCCATCCGAGCTGTCGTTGCAGCTCGGTGACCGGCTGTGCTGTGTGTTGCCCTTGCAGCGTCGGGCAGTGCCACACCAGTCAGGGACAGTTTCCTGCCCGCAGGCTGCTTTTGGTGTAACCAGCCTCTTGGAATCTCAAGCACTGTTCCCGAAGCCTCAAAGTTAGATCAGAGCCTCAAAGTTAGACTTGAAGAATGCTGCGGCCCGAAGAATTGTTCCAGGCAAAGATGAATCACGCAAGAGCCTTGGCCAAACATGAAGACGAACAAGATCCGAGGACACCTGCACTCAACACTGGACCTGAACGCCAGGCAATCTCAAACCCTGTAAGTTCCCCCTGTCGGGGCGTCCTCCTGGCGCTGCCGCCAGCTCGGCGCGGCAGGCCACGCGAGGCCTGCGTCAAAGCAAGGCCTGCCGCCTGCCTGACCGAAACTCGCCTCGATTTCTCGCATTTTTGACCCGCACAGTACTTACATGAAGCAAGCTGAGAAGGCAGTTTTCCTGGAAGACCTTCCGACCCTAAGCGTCAGACCGCGCCACTGCCCCGCCGAAAGCGGAATGGAAAGACCACAGTCTCCTGGGCCGCCCAAGCCAGACCAAGCCATTCACAAGCAGTTCTCTGCCCCGGAGAAGCACGCCCAGGCCCAGGCCGGAAGCCAGCAGCAAGCAGCTTCAGAAGCTTGCCAAGCTGAGAATTGGGCTGCTGTAAGTCGGCTGGGTCCGCAATCCGGAAAAGCCAAATACCTGGCTCAGACCAAGGCGAACGCTGCCTAAAGATGCTTCTCCTGCGGACACCGATTCATTGCACACATTAAGCACCTACGGATTCACACTTCCGGTCTGGGTCGGCTTTGTTTGTGGAAGGGACCGATGTCATTGGGCAAACCAACCAACACAACTGGCATAAAACGACTTGCATGCAAATGTACTACAATTCTATTAGAAGGGGCCTGCCTGGGAGCGCATGTTTTTGCACATTGCTTGGGCATAAAGAAAATCAAGTCGAGAAAACCTAGAAAACAAAAACACGCACGCACAAACACACACACACACACACACACACACACACACACACACACACACACACACACACACACACACACACACACACACACACACACACCACGCCACGCGCACACACACACGCGCGCAACCCACACACACACGCACGCACGCACGCACGCACGCACGCACGCACGCACGCCCGCCCGCCCCCCCGCCCGCACGCACGCACGCGCGCGCGCACGCACGCACGCACGCACGCACGCACGCACGCACGCACTCACACACACATGCACACGCCCTGCTCCCCCACCTCTTAGGTCTGCAAATCCAGTTGTTTTGCTTTTCTCAAGATGTTTTTGGCAGCTTGCGGCGGAAAACGAAACAGCTCGATGCAACCAAGCACCTATATATATATATATATGTATATCCGCCGACATTGCTCGGCGTGTCGGACACCTAAGAGAGGATAGAGGATAACCCCCCCCCCTAACCCCCCCGGCCCGACGTCTGATATGTGGGGGGGGGGGGGTGTGGCTTTTTGTTGCACATTGACCTATTCACACACTCCGCTGACATGATGGCTCAAGGCCCTTCAAGTCGTTTGTACAGTCATTCGACTCATGGCACAGTGATAAAAAGGCTTGCAGACCGCTTCACAGGATTCACAGTCACACCAAGGACAATCCATCCTCCAATCCTCCATATTGGCATGTTGTGGGATAGGTACCCCGGCAGTGGGCCTCAATTTGTGGTAGCGGAGCGGAGGCCTTGCCTAGCCCCAATTTGTTCAGGACTACGTAGTCTTGCTGACTCGGCACCCTTATCCTGCCTTGGGGGCGCCTCCGCGAGTCGAACCCGGGATCTCTAGGATATAGATCTGGCCATGGCCAACGCCTTATCCAGTGATCACAAATTGTGGTAGCGGAGCGGGTTTTCCGCAGAGATCCAAGGGAAGATGTCATCCGATGGAGAAGGCTTCATGGAAGCAGATTCAAGTATGGCCAGACCATCAGGCTATACGGAGGAACACTCAATTTATCGATGACCGCCAAGCAGCCGCCATCGCACGACGGAAAAGTCAGCTGGTTTAGGTATGAAGAACTCGTGGACGACTGGGTCACAATCACTACGGTGGAAGCACCCAACAAAAACCTCTGCTCAAGAGCAGACTCACAGGACATGCCTATATGTACAAGGCAGTCCTCCAAAATGACCTTCTGCAAGATCCTGATGAAGGAGTCAACTACTTCAAGAACACGCTGAAGAAGTACTTTTTGAAAGGTGCGACCAATGTGTATCTGTACAGGCTCCCCAGTTTCTCCAATCATAGAAGGCAGAACCAAGAGTTCCTCATTTTTACCTCAAAATTCGAAATCCTTCTCATGAGATTGAAGGCAGCATGGATGGACTTGATGCCCGCTTTCACGGCACAGTCCCCATCATTTCGACAATCCGTACAGGAAGCAAATGCAAGAACAATTGCTCGACATCAGCAAGCAGCTGGTACTCGAGTACCGCCTCCAGCCCTGCTCAATGAGGATGATCCAGTAGTCCTCAGACAGTATATCACGGGAATGCAGGACAGACAGCGGGACGCATTTCCCTTCAGGGATAATCTCATTGCACAGTTTTTCATCATTCAGAGTGAATTGTCAGATCAGCAGAGAGAAAGACTGACCAGTGCAATGTCATTGAGAAACATTTCACTAGAGAACTACTCCTATGAGATGCTGAAGACGCATTACCATGAACTCTTCATCACGACCAGGACATCCATTCAAGATCCATCCATCCGACCTCAAGGAGGCAACCGAAGCAATACATTCTTCATCATCGAACAAGGTGAATACGAAGGAGAAGAAGGCTTTTGGTTTGAGGATGAAGAAGGACTTGAAGGATTCATGTCAAGCAACGATGAAGAGACATTCTGGGTCCTCGAGGAGAATGATGCGTTCATAGCAAGAAAAGTGTCAGGGCGGAATTTCAGATTCAAAAAGAAAAGGAAAAGGAAAATCAGGAAACAAAAAAGGCAGTCACCACCGAGGTGGCTTTAAACCCTTCAGAGAAAGCGGTTCTGGCGGGAAGGCCAATATGGCCAATGAGAACTATGATCCCTACGACCAGGCATATTGAGGAAAAGGCAAAGGAAAGAAGGGCAGGAAAGGAAAATCAAAAAAACAATAGCCCTATGATGGAAACAAGGATTGTCCACCCTATGAGAATGGCAAAGGAAAAGGCAGACATGACAAAGGAAAATCCAAGACGTTCGCAGCCATCGCAGAGAAGACGGAGGAGCAGCCCACCATCCAGCAGACTGCACCATCCACAGAGCCTACCTATGCCGGTTGGACAGACCAAGATTGGGACCAATCGTGGACATGGAAGGAACAAGGCCAAGCGCTAATGGCACTCCATGACGCATATGAGCATCATGAGAAAGAGGCCATCCAGGGAAGCTGATCCAATGAGATGCATTTTCAGAACACAATTTGTCCGTAACAACAAATCACAGCCTTTTGGCAACAAAGCTCATGGCGCCTGTCATCAACCCTCAGCACAATCCGACCTATGCGATCCTGGACAACGGATGTACCAGATCCATGGGCAGCTGGCATGCAATCCAGCGTTTTACTCAGGCCATCGAACCCATGAAGGACATCTATAAGTACATCCCGGCCGAGACCAAGTTCACTTTTGCAAACGGAGCCATGTTCGTTCCATGTCCATGATTGATCCCATTCTTGGTCTGTCCAACCGGCATAGGTAGGCTCTATGGATGGTGCAGTCTGCTGGATGGCGGGCTGCTCCTCCGTCTTCTCTGCGGTGGCTGCGAACGTCTTGGATTTTCCTTTTTCCTGTCCGCTCTTCTCATAGGATGGATAACCTTTGTTTCCATCATAGGGGTATTCGAAATTTGATTTTCCTTTCTCTCCCTTCTTTCCTTTCCCTTTTCCCCAATATGCCTCGTCGTAGGGATCATAGTTTTCGTTGGCCATGTTGGCCTTTCCGCCAGAACCGCTTTTTCTGAAGGGTTTAAAGCCACCTCGTTGGTGACTGCCCTTTTTGTTTCCTGATTTTCCTTTTCCTTTTCTCTTCTTGAAATTGAAGTTCCGCCCCGACACTTTTCTTGCTATGAACGCATCGTTCTCCTCGAGGACCCAGAACGTCTCTTCATCGTTGTTTGACATGAATCCTTCAAGTCCTTCTTCATCCTCAACCCAGAAGCCTTCTTCTCCTTCCTACTCACCTTGTTCGATGATGAAGAATGTGTTGCTTCGGTTGCCTCCTGGAGGTTGGATGGATGGATCTTGGATGGATGTCCTTGTCGTGATGAAGAGTTCATGGTAATGCGTCTTCAGCATCTCATAGGAGTAGTTTTCTAGTGAGATGTTTCTCAATGACATTGCACTTGTCAGTCTCTCTCTTTGCTGATTTGACAGTTCACTCTGAATGATGGAAAAATGTGCAATGAGATTATCCCTGAAGGGAAATGCGCCCCGCTGTCTGTCCTGCATTCCCGTGATATATTGTCTGAGGACTACTGGATCATCCTCATTGAGCAGGGCTGGAGGCGGTGCTCGAACACCGGCTGCTTGCTGATGTCGAGCAATTGTTCTTGCATTTGCTTCCTGTACGGATTGTCGAAATGATGGGGACTGTGCCGTGAAAGCGGGCATCAAGTCCATCCATGCTGCCTTCAATCTCATGAGAAGGATTTCGAATTTTGAGGTAAAAATGAGGAACTCTTGGTTCTGCCTTGTATGATTGGAGAAACTGGGGAGCCTGTACAGATACACATTGGTCGCACCTTTCAAAAAGTACTTCTTCAGCGTGTTCTTGAAGTAGTTGACTCCTTCATCAGGATCTTGCAGAAGGTCATTCTGGAGGACTGCCTTATACATGTATGCATCTCCGGTGAGTCTGCTCTTTAGCAGAGGTCCTCTCTTGGATGCTTCCACTGTTGCGATTGTCACCCAGTCGTCCACGAGTTCTTCATACCTGAACCAGCTGACTTTCCGTCGTACGACGGCGGCTGCTTGGCGGTCATCGATAAATTGAGTGCTTCCTCCGTATAGCCTTGTGGCTTTGCCATACTTGAATAGGCTTCCATGAAGCCTTCTCCATCGGATGACATCTTCCCTTGGATCTCTGCGGAAAACCTGCTCCGCTACCACAAATTGAGGCCCACTGCCGGGGTACCTATCCCAGAAGGGAACTGGTACCTTTGTGGTAGTAGAGGTCGTTGATTTGGTCCCTGGATCTATTCCGGAGAGAATCCAATATGCCACTATGGATGATTGGAGGATGGATTGTCCCTGGTGGATTGTCTTGTGGATAATCCTGTAAGCGGCCTGCAAGGGTTCTTTTGTCACGCAATCATGAATGATGCTATGTTACACAAAAGGGGCCTTGAGCCAAATGTTGCAGGAGATCAAGTGTTCAGTAAACCAAACACAGCGGGGGGCCCTGAGGCCCACTGCCAGGGTGCCTATCCCAGAAGGGAACTGGTACCCTGTGGTAGAGGTCGTTGATTTGGTCCCTAGATCTAAAGTCCAAGGTGCCAATATGGAG